TGCTCTAACAGAGATGCAAGTGGGTGACTTTCTCCATCTGTGGGAGAGGCGCCCTGGTGGTGTGATGGATTAAGGGTTGGGCTGGGAACTACAAGGTCATCAGTTCAAATCCATCAGCCGCCTGGTGGAGAAAAGACAAGGCTGTCTACTCTGGTAAAGATTTAGTCTCAGAAACCCACAGGGACAGTTCTACTCTGCCCTGTGAGTCAGAATAAACTCATTGGCACTGGGTTTATGAGGCTGGCAGTCCGAGTTCAGGACACCACCTTGGGGAAAGCGCTCAGGGTGGGCGGGGGCAGGTCCTTGTCTTGCTCAGCAGGTTTCAGTTCCTGGGTGAAGCTCAGTCACACTACAGGGGATGTTGTTCCTCATTTGTGCCTGCTTCTGCTCCTGATAAGTGGTTAGGGTTAGGACACACCCTACATTGCCCATTACCATAACAACAACAAGAAAACTATTCCTACATGGGGTCACATCCACAGGTCTAGAGGTTAGGATTCCACACATTTTTACCCCCAAATCAAACTCTCTGCCATTGAGGCGATGCTGACTTATAGCAACCTACCCTGAGAATTCCCAAAACTGTAACTCTTTACAGGAGTAGAGAGCCCCGTCTTTCTCCTGAGGAGTGCCTGGTGGTTTCAAACTGATGACCTTGTAGTTTGCAGCCCAACTCACAACCACTATGCTACCAGGGCCACAACACTGTGCTGTACTGCACCCTGGCTCACTCGTCCCTTCCTTGTGACCCTTCTGTGAGAGGATGTCCCATTGTCCAGAGACGGCCTTGTAGATAAGTTTTGTGTGTTTGTGTTGTAATACAGGAAGGCAGGCAAAGCAAGTAAATAATTCAGACAAAGTCAATAGATTTATCACCAAGTAAATAACCGGAAACTAGCACCTACGTCAAGATACAGAACATTGCCAGCCCCCACCCACTCACCCACCCACCCACACATCCTCTCCCCCTCATTCATTTCCTTTCAAGTCTTACTGCCTCCATTGTCCCAAACGTGGTGGTGGTGGTGGGTGCCATGGAGTCAGTGCTAACTCATAGCAATCCTGTGTGCGGCAGAACCAAACAGGACCTGCTCCTAGACCATTCTCACCATTGCTATTGCGTTTGAGCCCATGGCTGCAGCCATGGTGCCAATCCTTCTTGTGGAGGACCTTCTCTTTCACAGTCCCTGTATTTTACCACGCACGGTGTCCAGGGACTCCGGAGGCTTTCCTCTCCTGATAACATGCCCCAAGGATATGAGATGAATGAAGATAACCAACCAGTTTTCTGGCTTTTTAAAAAAAGTTTTTAATTATTTTATTGGGGGCTCATACAACTCTTATCATAATCCATACATACATCAATTGCATAAAGCACATTTGTACATTCGTAACCCTCATCATTCTCAAAACATTTGCTCTCCACTTAAGCCCCTGGCATCAGCTCCTCATTTTTCCCCCTCCCTCCCCGCTCTCCTCTCCTTCATGAACCCTTGATAATTTATAAATTATTATTTTGTCATAGCTTGCCCTGTCTGACGTCTCCCTTCACCCACTTTTCTGTTGTCCGTCCCCCAGGGAGGAGATTATATGTAGATCCCTATAATCTGTTCCCCCTTTCCACCCACCCTCCCTCCACCTTCCCGGTATCGCCACTCTCACCACTGGTCCTGAAGGGATAACAAATTTTTCTTAATAGTTTCACTACCTAGGCATATATCCCTAAGCACTAATTTTATGCATTTTATATATAACAGTTTTGTTTTCATATACAAATGCTCGAAGTCATGCAGGTGGTTATGTCTGGCTTCCTTCATACATAAGTGAGACTCATTCATACTGTAACTTGTAGCTGTGATTCATTTGCTTTCATTGTTATGTAATATTCCATTGAATGAGACCCCACGGTCATTTGTGTACCTATTGTCCTATTGATACGCACTTGACTGTTTTCAGCTTTTGCTTATTATAAGTAATGCAACTACTATGAGCATTCCTGAAATATGTCATGTGGCAAGCACCCATTTCTATTGGATGTACACCAAGGAGTGGCATTGCTGGGCCGGAAGGAATACACATTCCAATCTGCAGTAGAAAATAACTGGAAACTAGCTAAGCTGTTTTTGAAGAAAGGAGTCTTATCAGTTTACTGCCCAACATCCGTGTCTGTTACACTTCATGTAGGCCTGCTTAGAGGAGGCTAGGCCATCCAAGAAGAAATTTTTAAGAAATGATCAATAGAATTCTCCATCTGCTAAGAGCAAATAATGCAACTATGAGTCAAAAATGAGTGTGCCATGGAAGAAACATTAAGAAAACCAAAATAAAATTAAAACAATAATGCAGTAACATTTCTTACGTGTCAGACTGTCAAAACTAAAAAAAAAAAAAGTGGTAGCACACTTCTGGCGAAGCTGTGTGGAAACAGGCAGGCTCCACTGGTGGGAACGCACATGGGCACAGCTCTTCTGGAGAGCAATGTGGCGCTATTCCCGCACAAATCTGGGAGACGAGACCTCGGGTTAAGAAAGGTAGGAAGAAGGAGGGAAGTCACAAAATCACCATTAGACAAATGCCACAGTAATCAGTGGAATGGATAAATTCTACTAGTGGATACTAACATCAGTGGGTGACTCTGTACGCTTAGACTGAGGGTGAACAGCATATTTTCACCGTCGTTTTTATCATCTTCGTTATCTAGAACTGCTATAATAGAGACACCTGTCGATGTCGTTACTAAACAGAAATGTATGCTCTCCTGGTGTAGAAGATTCGAAATCTAAGTTAATCAGGGCATCGGCTGTCGGAGAAGGCTGTCTCTTTCTGTCGTCTCTTGGGGAAGGACCCTGTCTCAACGAAAACAGTCTGGGCTAGACTTAAGTAGGGCTACCTGTCTGTCTGCGAAAGAGGCAGCTTATAACGTTAACCCACCATATGGAGGTCAGTGTGATGTTAATGTGGAATTTGCAGTAATAGCTTGCTTCAACGAACTGAGTTGCTGTGCTATTGAAAAAGCATGTTTCAGGTACAGGCTTCTTTGTTGGATTGCATTTCCCTATATGGTGTGCCACCGCGGCTGCATTTTTGACAAAGCAAACCTTTGTGGCAACCGTGCATTCAGCCTATTCGCATGGACTCCCTTTGTGTCCCTGTGCCATATTTTGGTAATTTTCACAATGATTCAACTTTTTCATAATGCCACTGCACACTTAATAGGTGACAAAAACAAAAACACGAAAGGTCCCAAACGCATTGCCACCAAGCCATTTCTGACTCCTAGCGGCGTCCAGGGCAGGGCGGAGTTGCCTCTGTGAGTTTCTGAGACCGGAACTCTTTATGGGAGTAGAAAGCCTCATCTTTCTCCCAAGGAGGGCCTGGTGGTGTCAAACAGCCAACGTGCTGGTTAGCACCCCAACATGTAAGCGTTACACCATCATGATTCCACAGGAGGCTGCAGTACCGTGTGAACATAACTTTTCTATACACTAGTTAACCATAGATCACGGGACTGCAATGTTAGCCTTATTTTGGTGGTCCGGAACTGAACCCATAATATCTCTGAGATGTGCCTGTGTCCTTTTAAATGTCTATCTTTTTTATTTGACAAAATTGTCTTATTATTATTTCCTCTTCTAGTATGTGCTGGTGAATAAAACATTAGCTATCTTTGGTTGTTGATCTTTCCAAAGTGTTAAAATAGAAGTCAATTAACACCCACGTGTGCACCAGTTTAACCGACAAATTCAAAATAAATATGATGTGATGTAGTGAGCAGCAAATCTTTTCCCTAGTTTTCAGAGAGCTATTCAGATATTTGGAAAAAATTAAGCTCTTTTCCACAGACCTTTTGGGGGACAAAAAAAAAATGGTTTCATGAGAAGCCATGGAACATTTTTTCCATATTGTTCAAATTTTCTTTTAAATTCCATTTCAGAGGGTGTCGTGGATTGATTATTGTTGCCCAAAAATAGTTATCCATTTGGTTAGTCCATGATTCCAGTATTGTGTGTGATTGCCCTCAATTTTGTGATGTGATTTAATTACTCTCTATTTGTGAAGTGTTGTAAATCCTAGTTTCTTTATGTTGGTAAGGTAGGATTAGTGTGGGGTGGGTCTTGAGCCTCAGCTAGTATCCTTTCAATATCTGTGAGGTTGTATCACTATCTACCAACTCAAGACCTACTCTTCTGCAGATTCCACCCTTACAGCCACACCCTTGCTTGTGTCACACCTTTTATCTTACAAGAGATAAAGGAAAGCAAAGTAAGCAGAGGAGAGGGAATCTGACTATCTCCAAGCCAGTAGTTAAGCCCATTTTTGGAAGCTGGGGTCCCTGTGCTGACAACCTCCTAGACCCAGGGAAGATTGATACCAAAACACATGGAGATCTCCGAGGGATATTGGGCTCACAGATGCTGAAAGGAGACAGGGCCCTTCCCCAAGAGACGGCACAGAGAGAAAGCCTTCTCCTATCCCTGACATGCTGAGTAATTTGGATTTCTGACTTCCTAAACTAGGAGGGAATGCATTTCTGTTTATTACAGACATCTACTTGGATATTTCTATTATAGCCGCACTAGAGAACTAAGATGAAAAAAGGAGCTGAGACAATTGAGCAAAATGTGCTGATTTTTATTATTTGTAACAATATGAGGGTCACATGAGTCTCTTTACCATTTTCCATTGCTCTTTCCCATGCTGGGAAGCAAATCTGCCAAGCCTTTGTCATGTGGATAAAAGCATTTGAGACCCTCCAAAATAAATTTCTGAAAAGGCAGTCATCCTAACTTTTGTGTTTTAAACCTCCTATGAAGGATGTGTGTGTACGTGTGTGTGTTTATATACTTCATTTGAAAATGCACACATATCCACTTGGAATATGTTCAGTTACCAAACACATGTTGTTGTTTTTTTACTAGTTGCCATTGAGCATCGATTAGAACTGATGTAGATCCAATGTGTGCTGAGTAGACCTGCTCCACAGGGTTTTTAAGGCACTGACATTTTGGAAGGATCGGCAGGCCTATCTTCTGGCTGGGTACTTGCTGCCAACCTCTTGGTAAGTAGTTGATCCCTTAACCATTCAGTCCACTCAAGCACCCCTTAACCAAAACCTTCACCATGGCGAAAACAACTAAGTAATTTATTTGTGTCCCACAATAAGATGTCTGGGGTGGGCAGGCCATGACTGATCTAATGTCTCAAGGATGTCACTGGACTTGGGCTCTTTCTGGTCTTCACTTGACCCTGGTTCTCATGCTCACCAATTGCTTCCTCATTGCTTTCTACAACGTACGACATCCTGTCGCAGCCATATTTCGAACAGGAAGAAGGAGAAAAGGTAAAGGGCTGGAAAAGCATACCAGCATTTGAGGGGGTACCACTGGGTGGAGCTTTTGTAGGACGCATTTTCCCCCTTGGGGGAGCAGCGAGCAACTCACTTTGAGTTAGGGCACCTACTGGTGTTGCCTGGAAAGGTTCTCTCTGGTCATAGTGAATTTCTTCATAAAAGCAGTTTTGCTCAAACCTCCTATTTTTTTGATGGCCAATTTAAGAGAACAGCATGCAGCTATGAAATTTTGTTTCCTGCTTGGGGAAAATGCTGCAGAAACTGTTGTGATGTTGAACACAGTTACAAGGACAGTGCTATGGGGAAAAACTAAAGTGTACGAACGGTTTTCTTGTTGCAAAAAGGTGACATGTCCATTGATGAAAACCCTTATTTTGAGTTGAGGGACGAAAATGTGGACTGAGTGCATTTGGAGTTTGTTCCACCAGGTCAGACTGCTCATCAAGCTTTCTATGTAGAGGTTCTGAAAAGATTATGTAACAGTGTGCAACAAAAAGTCCTGATTTGTGGCAGACAGGACAATGGTTTTGCCACCACGACAATGCACCTGCTCATGCAGCCATTTCAGTGTGCCAGTTTTGGGCAAAAAACAGCATGCCTCTCTTGCCCCATGCACCTTACTTACCTGTGTGACTTCTTTTTGTTTCTGAAAATGAAGAGGGACATGAATGGACAGTGACTTGACAATATAAAAGAAGTGAGAAAAAAACCTAGGGACGTGCTGTCAGCTTTCCAAACAGATGAGTTTGAAATTTGTTTCCAAGAATGGAATCACAGATTTGATGTTTGTATTGAGTATAATGGAGAGTACTTTGAAGGTGATTAGGTTGTTTTGTTAAAAATAAAAAAATTAACACATAGCTTTGGGGCAAAAAAAAAAGTTTTTTTGTTTTTTTTCGGTACCCCTTCATAATGTGGCCTCTTTAAAACACTTGTCTCAAAGTCCCACCCAGTAACTTCTGCTTACACATCATTGGCCAGAAATGGATCATGGCCATGCATAGCTGCAAGGGAGTTGGAAAAGGGCTTAGGTTTTCAGTCCTTATCGGAAGGTAATGAAATCAGTAGACTGTGCATACAGACTTTTGGGTAGTCCAACTATCAAATATATTTCAGAAAATAGAACTTTTTCTATATGATATTTATGCACACATACATACATGTAATAGGAGTGTACTCTTAAGTGTCTGTACATACTGACTCACAATGCATAAGTTATTTCTTACCTGTGTTATAGTAAAAAAGTTTAAAAGCTATTTTTTTTGTGAAAGCCATTTAGCTACTTATAATTACAAGTCATTTGGAGGCTACATGGAGAGAAAATGTAATGGAAGAAATAAAATATACACAAATAAAACATAGGAAAGAAACTGCACGTGCTATCAAAATACCAAGTGTCGTTGATGGTCAGTGGCATTGGATATATAATAATTCTGATGTAGACTCACCCACCAAATCCACTACCATCCAGTGGAGTCCAACCCTTAGCAACCCTACATAGGGTTTCTGAGGCGGTAAATCTTTACGGAAGCAAACAGCCTCATCTTTCACCCTCGAAGAAGCTTGTTGGTTTGAACTACCAACTTTGAGGTTAGCAGTCCAGCACTCATCATGCTCATTGCCATCGGATCCATACTGGCGTCTAGTGACCCGATAAGGCAGAGTAGAACTAGTCCTGTGGGTTTCTAAGCCTGTAAGCCTTTACGGGAATAGAAAGTCTCGTCTTTTCCCTTTCAGAGCAGCTGGTGGGTTTGAACTGCGCTACCAGGGCTCCTCATTTGCTTACAGAGCCTGGGAAAAGGTCTTCACCGGGCCTGGCATTTGAGGTGAGACTGGAAAGATCAGAAAAGTCCTCCTTTTTGCTCTGCCTCTATCGTGCATTGATGGAGTCTCTCTTAAGTGGCACAGCCCGTTAAGTGCTTAACTACTACTTGAAACACTGGTGGTTCAAATCCTCCCAGAGGCACTTTGGAATAAAGCCTTAGCTGTCCACTTCTGATAGCCTTATGAAAGCCAGCTCTCTCTGAAATGCATGAGGTTCCCTGAGTGGAAATGGACTTGACATGAGCCTCTTTGTTCATTTTTCATAAGGTACTGGGTATTATTCGGACCCATCTTAGAGGGGACTGAGCCTAGATCATAATCCTGTTACCTCACAACCAAATTATTTTAAAACTAAAACATTAAAGTACCTCTGTCTAGCTCTGGGCCTACTCTGTTGAAAAATTGAAAAATAACCCCATTTTCACAATCCAAAACATCAAGCCATGGACAAATCATCTTTACTTTGGGCCTCAGTTTCTTCCTGAATCACATGGAGGTGGTCCTTATCTTACTGGGAAATGTGTGCAAGGCTGTTTTAGAAAGAAATGTAAAATTGGCACTTTTAATAAAAGAAAATGAAAATGCATTTGAAAATTGAAGGGTCCACACACTCCAACTTCACCTAGTGTATATCCTGGAGAGAGGTGGCCTCAAATGGCTGACGTAAGGAAGTACAAGCCGGGCACCCCGCCTGGGCCATCAGCTTCCCAGCCCACTGCTGAATGTAGGGACTTAGTTAGTAATTTGAAGAGGGGTGAGGCCGTGAGAAGCCAGGAGATGGCTAAGTCAGGGCCTCCTCTTTGTGCCAGAAACAACAGGATTTCACACCTTGCACATCATTTTACAGGAATATGGCTAGGACTAGCAAAGCTCGTTGTTTTCTCCCTCACTGCTGTGTGCCTCTGGTCAGCACCCTGCCTTGTAGACCGGGGTGCGCTGGCATTAGAATTCTGAGGTTACTCCGGAAGCGATGGTGACCCATTTTCGGAATCAAAAAGATCAGCTAATCTGTGTCGCCTTGCCAGTCAGTGTTAGGTGTTTGACACTCCTTGTATTCCTTCCACAACGCTCTTAAATAATTGCTTTAGCTAACAAGCCACGGTGTCTCCTCTGGGCAGTGTGGAAGGTGGGTGGGCATCAGCGATGCCGGTCCCATATCGTAAGGGGTTATAAGAAGTATTCTCTCTCAGTCTGTACACGGATTTTACCAAATTTTGTGACACAACTCTAGCTCTTTGACTGAAAGAAGGGCAACGCTGATATTTTAATTTCAGCTTAGTAGAGAGGAAAGGGACATTTTATTTAAAGGAGGAACTATTTTCAAATAGGGGGAAAATAAGGAACCTAAATAAATGGAACACGTTTTATCTAGAGAAGGATAGGCCCTTTTTGTAATCAATGCAGGCAATACTGTTTTCATGTTGGGCAGGCATTTTCATTTTTAAGGTCACAGTAAGTGACGGCGGTGTAATTCAGTCCGGGGCGCTTTGAATGCCACTTGCAGAAAGAACTCTGTGGTGATCATTTAAGACACTCGAATCGTGTGTTGCCCTGTATCTTCACCACAGTGAAAAACAAGAAGCAGCAGCACTGGCAGAAGGTGACGACTGTCACCAGACAGAAACATGTAAAAATACATTGGAACGGGCTCTTTTTCCAATTGCAGAGTTCTTTAAAAGACTGGACATTCACAGACTGGGAGCCCTCTCTCGCAGTGGTGAGGGCTCCGGCTGCCAGCAGAGAGGACTGTGGGGTGAACCCCCAGACACGCCTCTGAACAAGGTTCTGCAGGCCGGTTCTTGGTCCGGTCGGGTCGCTGTGAGTTACGATGGCCGATGGGCTTATCCTGAGTGTGAACGGACGTGGTGACAACGCGAAAACAATGTCCTGCATTAGCGATGCAACGAAAGAATCTCGCATACTGTGTCTTCAAGCTTTGCCTCTCTTAGTGACTAAACATTTTAAAGTGGCTGATACCTAAAAGCAACAAGCCGAATTGTAAATGAGGTGGGGGCTTTCATTTTCTTTTTTTAGTCATTTTATTGGGGGCTGGTAAACTCTTATCATAATCCATCCATCCATCCATTGTGTCAAGCACATTTGTACATCTGCTGCCATCATCATTCTCAAAACATTGGCTTTCCACTTGAGCCCTTGTTATCAGCTCACTTTTCCTTCTCTCATGGACCCTTGATACTTTATAAATTATTATTTTTCATGTCTTACACAGTCTGACGTCTCCCCTCGCCCACTTTGCTGTGGTCTGGCCACCAGGGAGAGGGTTATATGTAGATCCTTGTAATCATTTGCCCCTTTCTACCCCACTTTCCCTCCCAGTATAACCACTCTCACCACTGGTCTTGAAGGGATCATCTGTCCTGGATTCCCAGTGTTTCCAGTTCCTGTCTGTACCAGTGTACATCCTCTGGTCTAGCTAGATTTGTAATGTAGAATTGGAATCATGAAAATGGGCGGGGGGGAGGAAGCATTAAGGAACTAGAGGAAATTTGTATGTTTCATCATTGATACACTGCACCCTAACTGGCTCGTCTCCTCCCCATGACCCTTCTATAAGGGGATATCCAGTTGCCTACAGATGGGCTTTGGATCCCCACTCTGCCCTGCCCCTCATTCACAATAATTTGAATTTTTGTTCTTTGATGCCTGATATCTGATCCCTTCGACACCTCGTGATCACACAAGCTGGTGTGCTTCTTCCATGTGGGCTTTGTTGCCTCTCAGCTTGATGACCACTTGTTTATCTTCAAGCCTTTAAGACCCCAGATGCTATATTTTTTTATAGCTGGGCACCATCAGCTTTCTTCACCATGTTTGCTTATGCACCCATTTGTCTTCAGAGAGTGTGTGAGGAAGATGAGCATCAT